CGCCGAGCGGCTGCTGATCGCGCGCTGATGCATCAGCGCTCGTCTGGACCGTCGTCCGCGTAGCCTGATCCATCTCCATCCCTTGCGAGTTGGCGGAGTCGGGATCGGGATCGAGGACAATGCCGCGCTGCTGCGCATCGTCTACACTTGCAACGCTCGCTGGCGTCTCTCCCACGCCGACGCTGGGCGCCTGAAGAGGCGTGGACAGGCGCCGCTCTGACAGAGCAGGCGAAGCGCTGGCCGAAGCGCTGCTGCTGGTGGTGGTGGTGGTGGTGGCAGCAAAGGGACTTCTAAACAGGTTCAATCTCATGCCCATCTTGGGACTGCTGCTGTTCGATATCATCGATCCGTTGACATTGGCACTAGCAACACCACCATCCGCGCTGCCAAGCTCAGGCAGCGACGGCGACGGCGCAGGCGCAGAGAACGATTGCGGTTCCATGCGATGAGCCGAATGTATGCCCGGCACCACCATCATGGACGAGCGGGTAGGTTGCGTCTTGATGCCGCTCCCGCTTGCGCCCCCGCTCGTCGATCTGGCTGCACCACTCGGCTCGGCAGAGCCTAGTTGTCCAGTATGAGAGTGCGCCGAAGACCTGCGCTCCTCGGTCTTGTCAGAGACAGGGTTCCGAGACTGGGAGGACAGCGAAGGGCGCGCAGCTTGTGCCGGTGATGACGAGGGTGAGATGGGCGCTGGCGCTGGCGCTGGCAAAGTTTGCTGCATAATGCTGGTCGCTGGATTATCGCTTGCATCGCTTGCATCGCTCCTACCCTCTGCTATTGTGGCCGCTGGCGATACAACGTCGCTCCTCTTCGGCTCCCCGTTGCCGCTCAAAGCAGCTATCTTGCCATCAGAAACCTGATCAGAGGTGCGCTGCACATCGACAACCTGCCCCCCAGCAATAGCTTTCGCAACGCGCACCCTTTCTCGCTCGCGTTCAGCCGAGCTATTCCCAACAGGCGTGCTCCTACCACTGACGTTCGGAGAAGCTGAATCTTTAGCTCTGCTCCTAGCTTCTCTGTGATCCCTGTACGACCTCTTTTCACCAGCTCCACCTCCGGTAGACGTAGACGCCACGGATGAGCTCGAGGAGCCCGTCCGAATCATGGCGGCAGATGAGCTCCCTTCGAAAGATGGCTGTGCGAACCCTGCTGGTGATCCTCGCGCATCGAAACCAGCACCAGGAAGGTCAGGTGTTCCTCCCGATACCCAATCGGCCGGGGTGCTGGTGAGACCTGAGCCGGACTGGGCAGGACCGGCAATCTCAGACCGTACTAGTGGTGCAGGACTGGTATTGCCGCTCCTGCTTTGAGCAGCAGCTTCCGCCCTCTTGCTGTTCCAATTGGACCAGCCCCTCTTGATCGCATCTTTGGCCTCCTTGGCAGCGGCCTGTCTAGACTCCTTGTCCGCCATACTAGCTTTCGCCTTGTTGAAGAGCGCAGAAGCGGTCATGTTGCCGCCAGCGCCTGCTGGAGAGGCGCTAGTGGCAGATGAAGAAGAGGTGGAAGCGGCAGACCGAACCGAAGCATCGTCCCTCATCGCAATCGTCGTATTGTACCTGTCACGATGAAATGCGCTCAGGCCTGTCCCGGCGCTCAGAACGCTCGAACCGGATGGCGAAGTGCTAGCAGGCACATCTGTCGTGCTGAGGCTCGGCGGTGCCCTCCTCGGCGGAGGAGCAAAACCATACATGCTGCGATCCACGCGCGCCGGTGGGGCTTCCGGCACGGCAACCGGGCTCAAAGATGGACGCCGATCGTCGGACAGGGTCGGAGAAGCAGGTTCCGAGTTCTGCGGCGAAGCAGCGGGCGAGCTGCTTACTACGGGTGCGAAGCTCGGTGCCAGCTTGGATAGCTCGTCTCCTTCAGCCACGTCCGTCTTTGTCAGATCTGATGCCGTAGAGGACGCTATTCCGCGCGGCGTCTCGGGCGGATCGTGGTCGTCGCGCGGTGAGGTGACTTGGACCGCAGGCGGTATGCAAGACGAAGCGGTGTTCAGCGAAAGAGCAGAGCCAGAGCTTGGGGAGACTTGGTCCGCTGGATGTAACGCTGGAAGCGCTTCCACTAGCCCATTGTCCTCATCCTGGCTAGGCATATCCGCAGCAAAAGATTGCAGATCTTCTGTCGTAGCGCTGATGCCGCTCGCGGCCGAAGCGTCCGACAGCTCGGAACTGATACTGTCTTGATTCTGGCCGTGCGTAGGCTTGAAGGGGACAGCATCAGGTAGCGCAGCCCGAGACTTGGCGCTCAAAGTCTGCGATTCCAGTGAAGCAGAGAGCGGAAGCTCCGCATCCTCCTCCTCTCTAAGCGATGGCTCGTTCGCACGTGCGCTCAGTGTGTCCTTCGAAGGGGCATTCGCCAGGCTAGCGTTTCCCCAAGCCAGGCTGCTCTTGGGTCCTTTGGAGCCTGCCAGCCTTTGCAGGCCTGGAGGAATGCTGCTGCTTTGGCTCGGCACACTGCTACCGCCATCTGTAGAGCTGATGACGCTCGCACTGGATGAGGTGCCATCTAGTCCTCCGACAGCACTACCTACTCCAAAACGGGAAGGCGCGAACCAGGATCTTCTTTTGGAGGGCGTGGAAATAGCAGAAGGCACGGATCGCACCGAAGCCGGTCTCGCGCCGCTCACTTCTATTCCGCTCGTTTCGTCGGGCGTGCTCGTAGGAGTGTTGATGCCCGCGGCAGCTGCAGCTGCAGCGGCGGCCGAAGCAGCCTGATCTTTGGCGAGCAAGCTGCTCAGGCCCGCAATCGCAGGGCTGGAAGGCGAAGTACCAGCAGCTGACAAGATGCTCTGCGAGCTCGGCGCGCCCTTTCTGTTTCTCAGATTCGAGCTTCCATAGTCGATGAGCTGAGGTTCAGCAGCCATAGAAGTGCAGTGCGCGCTCAGTCTAGACTCGGTAGATGGCTCGACTGCAGCTGGTGCGCTTCCCCTCCTCTCCGCAGCAGGCGCACCAAGCTGACTTGCTCGCCCCTTTTTGCTCTCCATGCCCGAGGCTGCACCCTGAGTGGTCGTGCCCACGTCTGATTCGCTCGATGCGCATTTGCCCGCTTCGGACCAGATGCCTCCTCGATGTTCGTACGCCCTCGTGTCAAAGAACGGAATGTCGTCCATGTTGGGCAACACGAGGCTCTCGGTAATCTAGCACAAAAGGGAAAGCAAAACGGTCAAGACAGGCGTGCTGCTGCGACGCGCGATGTGCCAGCCAAACTGTGTGAGCTGGCAGCCGCACGTGTGAGAGCTCACCAATTCTCTGATTCTGCCTTCAATCAATCTCCTGACCATTCCCCATTGTACTTTGCGCTCGCTCACGACCGGTTCCACATCGATGTCCATCTCTGGCAACTTTGTGAAGCCAAACCATATCCTGTTGCTCGGAGGAGGTTTGATCTGCAGCAGCAAATTTCCCGTCAGACTATTGATGATGACTGCGAGCAAGAGGTTGATGGTGTAGGGTTTGAAGCGCGAGCCGAGGGATAGCGTGAGAGAGGTGCTGATGGTGAGACGAATGGAGCCAGTGTAATGCACCGAGACCTGTCGCGGGTTGAAAAAGGGAGGGTGGATGCATCGAAGTTCACTCATCAAGCCACAACGGTGGCCCGCTCTTCTCCTTTTCTGCTCCTACTCACCTCCATCGAAGCTTCGCCCTCGCCCGTCAAGCTCCTGAGCATCGGTCTGCTAAATGCAGGCGGATTGCTGCCCACTTCTACGCTCCTCACCTTGACCTCTCCCAAGTAGCCCGGCGTCTTGACTCTCGACACCTTTTTCATGATTTTTCTCGTAATGTACTCCTCCAACCATTTGGTCTTGTAGATGCTGAAGAAAATCCTTCCGAGCAGAGCGTTCAGCCAGCGCAGTGGGATGGGATCGGGGATACTGTCCAGATTGGACAAGAGCCGCACCATGTCTAGCGGGGAAAAGACGTCGGAGAGCGCGTCTGACGCCAAGCCGTCGATGCTCGAGGCGTTGTTGATGTGCCTTGCGGCGGCGGTCACATCCGATGGGATCATGGAGGCGTGCAGCAGTGCGTGGTACCAATCTTCCAAAGCGCTAGCAGATCGGGCAAAGATGAACCATTGCGCGAGTGACATGGAGCGGCCTCCAAGACTCGAAGCGACGTCTTGCGATGATGATGATGATGATGCTGCTGAAAATGAGTATTGTGCCGATGACGCATCTGCACGCGCAGATGACGATGGCATGGCGACGATCCTGACCGCATTGCGCTTGGTGAATAGCTCCCCATCCCTCACAGCAGCTCTTCTGGCCCTGTTCCAATTCGACCTGGCCCGCGCTCTGACGCTCTCGCTGATCGCCTCGATATCCTCATCATCCGTCACCGTCGTCGAGCTGCTTGCTGTAGTAGGCAGACCTGCAGCAGCAGCAGCAGCAGCAGCGACATGAGCGCCATCTAGTTCCGCCTTGACCACTCCCAATTTCTCCTCTTGCTTTAGATTGTCAAAGATTTCTTGCGGCTCTCCTGCCGTATCGCCTGCATGAGCGACGTACAAGCTGACGCGCTTGCCACGCAGATCGATGGCCGCATGGCATTCCGTGTCTGGTGCGGATGGATCGCTGGAAGAGTAGAGGTAGAGGACGGGACCTTTGAGGATGGCGTGAAAGGATTCGCGATTGGCGGCATTGCCTGCTGCTGCTGCTGCTGCTGCTGCTGCCGCTGCTTGGGATGTTGGGTTGCGCGAGTCGCGAGTGGCAGTGGTGGTGCTGGCTGATGGAGAAGCATCGCGCGAGTTGGATGCGGACGCCGTTGCTGAACTTGAAGAGGCGCTATCGAGACGTGCTGCAGCATGAGATGATCTTGCAGCCCTGTGCTGCTTGTAATTGATGACGCCCCTGTACATTGCGCTCATGTAGCCCGAAGAAGATGCGGGCTGCTGCTGCTGTTGCTGACCATGTCCACCCGCACCTGCACCCGCACCCTCACCCGCACCTGCACCTGCACCCGATGCCAGCTTGCTCTGATCACCCGCTCGCCCATGCCCATGCCCATCCTTCTTTGCAGCATTGGCCGCGGCTGCTTGATTGGAAGCGCCTTGACTGGCCAGCAGAGCGCTTGCAGCTTGACCCTCGAATTTGCGCCTCACCACGATCCACCCGTTCCTAAAAGGTTTGGCATGAGCTACGGGCCATGGACCCAATCGCTTGGCTGATGAAGGCACACCAGTCGTCGTAGCCCCCGACCCGTCTGGCGCAGCAATGCCATATGCATCCTCTGGCGTGCGCGTGTGATGTTGGCCGGCAGCATGAGCATGAGCATGAGCATGAGCTGCATCGATGGCATGCCTTTGCCTGGCGTGATTGTCCTTGGCCAGCGCAAGAGCTGCGCGCTTCTGGTCAGCATGCAACGCACCTGTAGATGGATCTGCGAGCGAGTGTGCAATGTCGCTGCATGGTTGTTGCTGTTGCTGTTGCTGTTGCTGTTGCTGTTGCTGTTGCTGATCATTAACGTTGTGCACGGGAGCTGTAAAGGTAAAGTGCAGCAGGAGGATGATGGCGCAGAGCGGCAGAAATGTCAAGCCTCCCAGCAGGTAGTAGAAGAGCGCGGTTGCGATGGCGTGCAGCGAGGTGGCCATGGTGGCAGTGTGGAGTGCGCGAGGGTGATGGTGATGGTGAGGGTGATGGTGAGGGTGCGTATGTGCGTGTGTGCGTGTGCGTGTATGCGTGTGTGCGTGCGTGTGCGTGTGCGCGTGCGTGTGCGTGTGCGTGTGCGTGTGCGTGTGGACATTGTGCACCGTGTGCTTGACTCGATGCAGGCACGCAGCACACACACATGCAAACGCGCGCCCGCAAGGTGCACGTGCATGCAACCATGCAAACAGCAGCAGAGCAACGCACCCACGCACGCACCCACGCACGCACCCACGCACGCACGCACGCAGAAATGGCCCGAGCGTGGTGGCGCGATGAGAAGAAGTGGTGAGGGAGTATGAGTGAGTCGAGTAGTCGAGTAGTGCGTGGATGGATGCTGCTGCACGTGATGTTCATGGCTTCACTCCGACTCCTGCGCACTCGATTGCAATCGTGAATGCCCACATTGGCTAGCACCCTGCCTGCTCTCCACTCCACGCCCCCCTTCCCTCCTCCACTCACCCCACCCTCTTACGCACACCCTCACCCTCACCCTCACGCAACCCCCTCGCAAGGCGGCCAAAAGCGACGAGAATGTTCAGTCGCAAGTCCAAGCTGAATCCTACGCCAGTGCTCCACACCGCCTCCATCCCTCGTCCAAGGCCACCACCACCACCACCACCACCACCACCACCACCACGCAGCCACTCCAACGACTCCATCGCTTCCCACAGCTCCTCCTCCACCGACACGTCCGAAGAAGAGGCAGCTCAGCGCGAAGCTCATCTGGGCGAACAAGGTGGCGCGCCTCCAAGCGTGTTCAGACCCGCATTCAGCTGCTTTGCCCTGCTCCTCTTCATCGCCGCGCTGCACGCCATTGCCCAATGCATCTTTCTCAGCGGCTTCCTCCTCAGCAGGGTCACGCTCGATGGAGTCGCCTCCTGTCCTCACCAGAGTAACCTCACCTGGTCACCACCACCACCACCACCTCCTCCTCCTCCTGCAGCAGCAGCAGCAGGCCATGACTCGCTGGATGTGAGCGCATGGCAGCATGAGCTGGACAAGCTTGCCGAATGCTCCCTGCCCCCAACCAAGCGCAGAGCAGTGCTGCTCATCATCGACGCTCTCAGGTGGGACTTTATCGCCGACACTACGCCCGCACACAACGCATCCGCATCCGCATCAGAGTGGTCCCCCAATCCATACCATCACGGCATCCTCAATCTGCCATCATCGCTGCATCGCCAATCCACAGGCCAAAGCCTCTCCTTTCTCTCCCACTTTCATGCCGATGCTCCCACCACCACATTGCAGAGGCTAAAAGGCTTGACCACCGGCACCCTTCCCACCTTTATCGATGCCGGATCCAACTTTGCAGGATCTGAAATAGACGAGGACAATTGGCTCTCCCAGCTTCGCAACGCTTCCCTCTCCCAGTCTGGGCGCGCAGCAGCAGCAGCAGCAGCAGCAGCAGCAGCAGCAGCAGCAGCAGCAGCAGCAGCAGCGGGCGGTAGAGCCGGATTGGCATTCATGGGCGACGATACGTGGTCAGCAGTGTACCCTAGTCTGTTCGACAAAGACTGGACATTTCCCTACGACAGCTTCAAGGTGGATGATCTGGACACGGTCGATCGAGGCGTAGAGTCGCGTCTGCTGCCGTTCTTGCAGGGTGCTAGTAGTAGTAGTAGTAGTAGTGGCAGCAGCAGCAGCAGCAGCAGCTCGCGTCCCCATGCTCCTCCACCTCCTCCCGCCGATGCTGCTTCTTGGAGGCTGCTGGTGGCGCACACGCTGGGTGTGGATCACGTGGGTCATCGCTTCGGTGCGCATCATCCAAAGATGAGGCACAAGCTGCTGGAGATGCAGAGCTTCTTGAAAGAGGTGGTGGAGCACTTGCCCAACGATGCTCTGCTCATCCTCGCCGGCGATCATGGCATGGACGATCACGGCGATCATGGCGGAGATGGTGAACTGGAAGTCGGCGCTGCGCTGTGGATCTACGCCAAGCATGGGCACACAGACGGGGATGCAAAGCAGGCAGATCGCGTTGCATCCCACGCACGCGAAGTGCAAGCCCTGCTGCATCGATTGGCTGCAGATGCGAGCATTTCGCATGCTGTGCCTCCCTTTACCGCATTCAGCCCGCTGCCGCATCCTCCTCTGCACAGGAGCGTCAGTCAGATCGATCTGGTGCCCACGCTCAGCCTCTTGCTCGGCCTACCCATCCCTTACAACTCTCTCGGATCCATCATTCCTGAACTGTTCCCCCCAACATCTGCGTCGGACGATGTGCTCCTCAGAGCTGCTCGCATCAACGCCAACCAGATTCGCAACTACTTGTCCCACTACTCTACGCGATCCAACGATCTCAAGCCTTTCCAGCAGGAGCTCAGCAGCGCTTGGCATAGCGCCATTCGTGCTGATGCCCAGTACGCCCAGGTGCTCGTCGGCAAGGGCAAGGGCAAGGGCAGCAGCGATGCCGAGCGCGCCGTTGCTCGGCAAGAATGCACCTTTGCCTACCTCCGATTCACGCGCATCGCCTTGGGCAGAGCCAGAAGCGTTTGGGCCCAATTCGAACTGCACAAGATGACGCTCGGTCTGGTCCTGCTTGTGCTCAGCTTTGCTACGCTCTTGCAACTTCGTTGCGCCTCTCATTCGGGTTTGATCTCTGGTCTTGCGCGGATGGACGAGAGAGTGGAGCAATCGGCTGGCAAGCCCCGTGGAAGCGTGCGGATCAAGAGTCGGCTGGTCGTCAAGCGCACGCAGGGTATTGCCCAGCTCGCAAAATTCTCCCTGGACCGCATCGTTGCCGGTGGTCGATCAGGCGCAGTCGTGGGTGTGATTGTGTGGGCATGCAAGGCGTATCTGCCTGGTTTGCAACTCGACTTTGTTCTCGGCGGACTGGGTTTGGCAGATTTGACTCTGGCAGGCTTGTCCATCGGCTCTCAACTCTCGCTGCTCATCTCCCAATCCAGCACCTGGGCAGCTTCGCCCAGATGGTCCATCCATGCCCTTCTCGGTCTCCTCTTCCCACTGCTCTACGCTGCGGGCTTTGGCAGCGTCAAATTCGTCATTTGGGAAGACGCATTCGCCAACGCTTTGCTCATCCTGGCGCTGCTCTCGCGAGCAGCTTACGCGTACGCGTACGCCCCGACCAGAAATCTCAAGAGGCGGCAGATTTTCCTCTCGCTTGCGCTGGCTGGTCTTGCGAGGCTTTTGGCTCTCGTCAGAGTCTGCAGAGAAGAACAAGGTCCGGACTGCGCCTCTACATTCTACGCGAAAAAGGGCAGCACTCTGAACAGTCCTTTGGCCGTTGGCGCAGCTTATCTATCTGCTCTGGCTTTGCCTGCCATCATCGGCAAGGTGCTGGAGCTGTCCAAGAGCAATGCAGGGTATGCACCCGCCTTTGAGAGCTGGTTGCTCAGACCTACCCTATTGCTTGGAGCTGGGTACTGGTTGTTGGACTGGACAACGACTTCCGAGACGCTTGCTCTGCCGCAATCCACCATCGCATGGCTCCAATGGCTCATGAGAGCGATGGCGCGGGTAGACCTGATAGCTGTGCTCATTCTAGGCTTGACCATTTGGGCCTTCGCACCGCTAGCCCTGGAGCTCAAAGAGGAGGAAATCACTGTACCCGCTAGGCCGGCTTCCTCTGCTCAATCCCACGCTCCAACCAAAAGGATCATCGTGCTGGGCTTTGCCAATAGTCTAGGCAGCTCTTACCTGTTGGGGCTGTGTCTCGTCCCGCTTGCGCTGCTCTTCTTGTTTGCGCAACCCATGGGTCAAGTCGTCCTGTCTGCGGGATTCTTGACCGTAGTGGCATTCGCAGAACTAGGCGATGGCGAGCGAGATGGTACCATGCTTCGAGAAAAGTTGCTAAGGGACGCCAATGCGAAAAGGACGGAGGAGAAAAGGGCTTTGGCAAGCAAAGACGAGCCTATGCATGCTCCCCTCTCCCTAGCGCCTACAATGCTAGAAGTCTCCACGCTGGGCCTGTTCGCATCTCAACTCTTTTTCAACACGGGTCATCAAGCCACATTCCCCACGATTCAATGGAGAACAGCTTTTGTGGGCTTCGAAAGCGTAACCTATCCATTCGCCCCCTTGTTCGTCTCCTTGAACACGTTTGGTCCCTTGGCGCTCCTACCAGGATTGATGCTCCCTCTGTTCGTCCTGTGGAACCTCAGCCCGCGGCCTCGAGTGGGACCGGGTGCAAATGCGGGCAAACCTGCCGCCGCCGCTGCCAAATCGCCCAGCAAGGCCGCTTCGAATACGGCTATGCGCACAAGCACGATCAGCATGCCCACCTTTACCCACCTCTTTTCCGCATTCCTAGCCATCGCACTGTACAACACCATCCTCTCCCTCGGCGCCACCTTTTTCGCCTTTTGGTTCCGCAGACACTTGATGCTCTTCAAGCTGTGGACGCCCAGATACATGCTCGCTTCCGTTCAGCTCCTTGCTGGAGACCTCTCCGCTTTACTAGCCACGATGGCCACCGCGATTGTAGCTTCCAAAGTCTCGACGACATTTGGCAGCGCTTTCGATTGAGGCCACAAAGAAATCACACACATGAATCATGTAAATGTAATATGGCATGCATGCATCTTGTATATTCGGCTAGACTACTACCTCTTGTGTTTCTTGCGACTCGCCTGCTCCTTGCCCGGCCCCTGATCACGTCGCTTGAGTCCCATGACCAAGTCCCGCACATCGGTAGGCTGATCTTCCCTCGCGCGCGCGCTACCGTTTGAATGCCCCAAACGTGGCGCTTCATCACCCTCCTCGCGTCGCTTGCGTCTCTCTTTCAAAAGCTTGTCCATGGCTTTGGTCTTGATGAAGCTGGGATGACTAGGGTCCAAGGCGTACCTGTGATCCTCAAAGACGTTCTTGAATCTGGCATCTGCGACGTCCAGGTCAAAGTCCTTCTGCACCTTGCCGCTCGGCTGCGCATCTCCAGCCTTGTCCTTGGACCGCTTGCCTCGTCTGCCTCGCTTCTTCTTGTCCTTTCCCGACTCTGCCCGCAGCACATCGCGCATGTCAAAGTGACCCTGACCACCGCCATCCGAATCCGAATCGACCATGAGTTGAAGCTCCGCTTTGCGCCTTTGCTCTTCTTTGCCATCCTCATCGCTTGCATCTTTTGGCCGCTTACTATTTGCTCTCTTCTTCTTCTTCTTCTTCTTCTTCTCCTCCGACGAGCCTACGCCGCGCCCTTCTTCAGCAGCAAGCGCTGCAGCGAAATCATCATCCTCATCCCCGCCCGCAAAGAAAGGATCGTCAAAAGTGATGGCCTCATCCTCGGGCGTCTCGTCTTGCTCCGCCAGCTCTTCCTGCATGCCCGTCTTCTTCTTGGCCTTCTTCTCCTTTTGCTTTCGCCTGTACTTGTCCAACGTCGTCTCGTCCTCGGGCCCTTTCCTAGCCCCGCTCGCCTTTTTCGCAGCAGCTTCCGACAAGCCAGGCATAAATGTGATTTGCATGTCTCCTTGCTCCGTATCGGGTTCCCGATAGTCGTCAAACACCTGATGCGTCTGTCCTTTGCGCCTCGCACCGCCTGCATCCTCTTGATCGAGGCCCATGAGTGCTCTGAAACGAGCTTTGGCTCGTGCGTCCTCTTCTTGCGCCGGTGTCGCGCTATCGCCTTCGTCTTCCGAGCCCGAAGCCAAGTACGCCTTGAAATCCTCGTCTCTCAGCTCCGTCTTGCTCAACTCCCTCTGCGCGGCGCGGGTGATCTTGGATCGAGACGCGTCATCAGCATCCCACGTCAGCTTGACTTTGGAGTGACGAAGCGCCTGCGCGAGTGGCCAAGGCAGCATGTCAGCACACACACAGGATTGGACAAGACAGCGAGCGAGCAAGCGATCAGTCCTCACAGCGGTGGTAAAGTCCACGCCCTTGTAGGTGCTCAACGAGGCATGGGTGTTTTCGTTGGCCTCGTCTCGCCACCCGTCGACGCCACCTTGGTGATTGGGAAAATCCAACTCTTCAGGGATAAAGCGGCAGTCGAACACATTTGCTGTCTTTTCCATTTCCGACCCATCCAGCTCGTCGTATACATGTTGGGCCACGGCAGCCGAGGAGAAGGTTGCGACCGCGTAGTAGTAGCTGCAGATGATCATGGCGAGTCAGATCGTCTCGTGCACCATATCAGCGCCACACAGACATACTCACCGCAATCTTTGCAGCTGGTAGCGTCGAAGCATCTCTTCGTCAAATTCGCCTCCTTCGTCCACGTTCCAAATGTCATCTTCGTCCTCCTCTTCCTCCTCGTCCTCGTCTTCTGCACGCTTGCGAGACTTTTTCGAGCTGCTGCCTGATGGAACGTCGCTAACCTGCTTGAAGATTTCGCGAGGAGGACCTTCTCTGTTTTCCTTTTCCATGCGCTCTTGGCCGAACTCGCTGGGATAAATGCGAACATTGAGGATGCGGCCCTTGACCGGCATCGTGCTGGACCTGCTAGCGCGACCGTCCTTCCCACTGTCGCCGCCCTGAGCGACATCGGCCAGCAGGGCTACGCCAGCCTCTCGGGTGGATGTTGGACTGACGAGGGAGGTGAAGATCATGAGCAGGTCAATGGCCTTGACGTGATCCCAGTCGAGATTGACGAGGGCCAATCGTCGAGTAGCATCGCCCCTCAGGATTTTGGAGCCTGCACGAGGGACATTGTCAGCATCACGTGGACGCTGTCTGCTGCTGCTGCTGCTGCTGTTGCCACCACCATTCACTTGCTCCTCTTCTGCCTCTTGTTGAGCGCGCTGATTGGCCAAGGAGAGCTGATCGATGCTGCGCAGCGCCTTTTTGCTCAGTTTGGCGTTGGCTGCGATGGCGGCACCTGCAGTTCGGCTGGCATCCTCGCTGTCAATGTCCAGAATGTCGTGATGCCCCTCGTCATCGCTCTCGCTCTGCCCATCTTGAGGCTGCTGCCGCTGCTGCCGCTGCTGTCGCTGCTGCTTTGCCAATTTCTTAGCTCTTCGCCTGGCATCTGCTCTGCCAAGGAGTACGCCATCGTAGTCGTCGCTGGAGCTGAGGCTGTCTTGATCGTCCGTGTCTCGTACTTCTCGATCATTCTCGTCGCTGTCCTCTTCCTCGCTGCTGTCCAGCAAGCCTTCCCCGCGAGCATAGTCGACGGCTGCACCACCATCGCTTTCCTCGCTCTCCTCCTGCTCTTCCTCCTCATCACCACCACCATCACCATCGCGCTCATTCAGAGTGTAGAATCTGGCCAAGTCTTCCTGCTCATCGCGCTGACTCAATTTGCGCCCAAACTTGTCGACGCGGTGCTTGTTGGATGAGCCATTGCTGCTGCTACGGCTGTCAGGCTTGAGCAAGTGGGCGAATCTATTGTCCAGCACGACTTTGCTGGTGTGCGCTGCAGGGCGCAAGAAGCGGGGATCGGTGTGCAGCCTGGCGAAGCGCGCATCCGTCTGAGCTGGGGCGTGGCGCGCGGCGTCGTCGTTGGCGGAATGGCCCGCTTGATCATCACGTTGCTTCTTCTGCTTCGCCATGATGGCAGCGCAGCGCAGTGAGAGCGCACGAGTGGGAGTGCGTGAGAACGCGAGAGAGTGAAAGAGTGAAAGCATTGAATGTTGGTGCGCTGCGCTCAATCACCAATCACGAATCATCTCACACGCAGCAAACTCAAAACTTTTCCAAAAAGTGATTTGAATCAGACGCAAAATATTCAGTCACGTGCCGCGATCCTCAGTAACGACGCGCAACCAAAAAAGAAATCAGGAAATTCTCGATTTGTGATCTGCGATTTGGCCCACCGGCAACGCTCTCCGCTCCACTCACCACAACTCCCTGCACACCCGCACACACCCACACACCCACACACCCACACACCCACACACCCACACACCCACACACC